AAACAAACAAAAAATCTTATCCCTGGAATCTGGGGATTAAGGGCAGAGTAGTTGGGTTGGTGCTCTAAGTAGTCTTGTTTTGCACAGAGATTGGTTCCAAGACATCCTGGAAGGCAAAAGTCACAGGCAGTGGGAAGTGCCCTTAAAGCTCCTGTAAAGCCCCGGTGAAGCACAACAAGCAGACAGGATCCCAGCCAGCAGCTCGTCCTTGAGGCCAGAAGAGTTATGTTGCCTGAGCTGAGCAGCTCGCCCGGAGGGCCTCACTGGGCCAGAGAGGCTGGCTGCTGCGTGCAGGGCCTAAGGCCAGAGAACGGCTGGCACGCCTGCTTCCTCCAGACACCACCTGGCAAGAGACTGCTGCGGGGCTGACCCACTGTGCATCAACACATCACTCATGTGCTGCTCACTCTCTCAGCACAGCTTGCACAGCCAAGTGTCTGTGGATTAACCAAGTGCTTTGGGAACCTCCACCTGAATACCCGCGTCTCTTCATGCTGCCGCCTTGGGCCACAGCTCCTGAACTCCTGGCCCACAGAACCTGTAAGACAGGGAGCAGGCGTCTGGCCCAGTGGTTAAGACACCTGTGCCGCACATCGCAGTATCTGAATTCAACTCCTAGCTCTGGCTCCTGACTCCAGTTTCCCACCAGGGCCAATCCTGGGAGTCAGTGGTGATGGCTCGAGTAATTGGGTTCATGTCACCCATGCGGGAGACCTGGATCCAGTGCCCAGCCCCAGGCATTGCAAACGTTTGAGGAGTGAACCAGCAGATGGGAAACACCTCTCTGTTTCTCTTCCTCCCTCTTAACTAACTAATTAACTAACTAACTAACTAAATAAATAAAATTTTAGAGGAGCAGGCATTTAGTCTAGCAATTAAGACGCTTGTATTCCACTTCATACACAGCTCTGGCTCCTGACCAGTTTCCTGCTAACATGGACCGTGAGAGGCGGCAGTGATTGCTCAAGTGGTGAGTGCCTGCCACCCACGTAGGAGATCTGGATTGAGCTCCTGGCTCCTGGGGCCAGCACTGTAGTACAACAGGTGAAGCCCCCACCTGGGACACCAGCATCCCATAACAGAGTGTCGGTTGAGGTCCTAGCTATTCTGCTTCCGATCCAGCTTCCTCCTAATGTGCCTGGAAGAGAAGTGGAATATAGCCCAAGTACATGGAGCCCTGCCACGGATAAATGGAGTTCCTGTCTCCTGGCTTTGGCCCAGCCCCGCCCTAGCTGTTGGGGGAATGAACTAGTGGATGGGGCTCTTTTGTTTCTGCCTCTGAAATAAATAAATTTACAACAAATTTTATTGTTAAAAAAAAAAAGAAACTGCAAGGTAATCAGTGTGTGTTGTTTTCAGTTGCTACATTTGGGAATAATTTGTTATGCAGAATGCTGACACACAGTGGTGGCTGCAGGCTCGGGAGTGAGCCAGTGTAGGCGATGGGACTGAGTCTGCGGGTTGAAAGGTGCCCTGGCAGCAGAGATGGCGGCACCGGGAGGGGCCAGGCTGGCCAGAGATCAGGTAGGAGGCTCTGCGGTTGTCCAGGGAACAAGGCTTACATCAAGACAATGTGGCAGAGACAGAAGTGCAAGCTACTTCCAAGTAAGAATGGTTGGAGCTCACTGGTCAAGTGCTAGAAATACATGAGTAATACTACCAATGACATTGACAGCTGCCAATTACTGAAAGTTTAACATATAGCAAGCACTACTGTAAGCAGCTTAGACATACCAACGCACCTAATCCTCATTGACGGCCTTGTGAGTAGATAGTATGATCGCATTTCACAGATGGGAAATTGAGGCACAGAAAGGTCCGTGACCTGCCCAGTGCCTCACAGCTGGTTGAGACACACAGCCGGGGTGCAAGCTTGGGCAGCTATGCCTTTAACTTCTCACTGGACTTCCTCTAGAGCAGGAGTGGGGAACCTGTTTTCTGCTCAGGGCCAAGTGGATATTTGTAATAGCATTCACGGGCCACATAAACTGATCAACTTAAAAATTAGCCTGCTACAGACCTTGAGTTTCGAGTTCCACCTGCAGCTACCTTGTCAGGACCTGACCAAATGATTCCGTGGGCCTCATTCAGCCAGAAGCTCCCCACCCCTGCTCGGGATGGATTGGAGAGAAAAAGAGTAGACAGGGGAAGACAAGGGTGCACCTTTGGGCCTCTGGCCAGGACCACTGGGTGCAGCCTCACCCAAGACAGGGTGGAAGCCTTGAGAAAAAGACACCACCAGTCACTTCATTCCATGTGCGCCTCGCAGGAACCACTTGCCGGGCTCCACGACACCCCAGCACGTGCACTGTAGAATAACATCCGGACACAGCCCGGGGCCCGCTCCTTCCACACTCCAGTAAAAATAAACCTCCCTCTCCAAATACGGGGTGGTGGGAAGTGCCGCGTTTTTCAGGAGCAGAAGCGGTTACGTGGCATGGCAGACACGTTTCGGCTTCCTCGGGCAGCTGGGCAAGGGCAGCGCGATTTCCAAGTAAAAACACAGATGATGCAGCGATCCCCGGCTGACTGACTTGGCGGGAGAAAAGAACAGCCCTGTGCCAGGCCTCAGTTTCCTCCTCTAGGAGTCTCCAAAGCAAAGGGGCCAGGGGAGGAGCCCCAAGGCTGCTTCAGGCTCCCCCTCCATGGAAGCATGGGCACTAGAGTCCCAGGCTGGCTCTCACAGGGCTGCGGCTTCCCGGCTTCCCCGCTTCCCCAATCACACCAGGGCCAGGCAGGCTGGCCCTTCTGCTCCCTGCCTAACTGCTGATAGCACCAGGCGTGCTTTTCCCAGGGATTTTCAGAACTCTGTCAAGAGCTTTAAATTACCCTTTTGAGCCCTGGCCGCATTGTTAATCCACAAAGAAATGCAAGCCAGGAAGTGCCCCCTCGAAGCAGCAGGGCCTCCAGAGATGCCACTTTGATAAAGGAAAACTCCACGGAGAGGGGATGGGGACGGTGGGGGGAGGGGGGCTTTCCTCCGCCAGGGTCGCCAGCAGCAGCCAGCAGTGGGCAGGGCCCTTGACACATTTCCCTTTCATCCCTCAAGCAGGAAGAACTGCATTTTACACTCAGAAGAACTGAAGGCTCAGAGGTTACTTAACTTGTCCACGATCCTTTGGCTGGCGGAGGTGAAACCAGAACCCAAGGCCAGGTTGGATGAGCTCCAAAGCCCGTGTCTACCCACCTCGCAAGGCAGAAATCCGCTCCAAGAGGAAAAGGACATGGTGAAAACAGCCAGGCGCCTTCGGGGCAGCCCAGGAAGATGTCTGAGACACAGTGAAGCTAAGACTACCGCACTTTTGCCACACCTTGAAAAATAAAAACTGGCGCTGTGGTGCAGTGGGTTAAGTTGCTGCCTGCGACACTGGCACCTGCTATGAGCACAGGTTCGAGTCCTGGTTGTTCCACTTTGGATCCAGCCCAGCCCTCTGTTAATGCACCTGGGAAAGTAGCAGAACATGTCCCAAGTCTTGAGCCCCTGCCACCTACATGGAAGACACAGATGGAATTCCAGGCTCCTGGCTTCGACTGGGCCCAGGCCCAGCCATTGTGGCCATTTGGGAAATGATCCAGTGGATGGAAGCTCTCTCTTTCTCTCTCCCTACTCTGCCTTTCAAATAAATATTTAAAAAGAATAAAAAGACCAGCTTTTCTTTAAATGCTTTTTATTAAAAATTGTACCAATTGATGAGGGGAAAATGAATATATATATTTATATATTTATATACATACACACACATACATACATGCATGTGTCTAACACAAAGCCATATTTGTACAGGTTAAAAACAAAATGGGTCCCCATTCCTCTCCCTCTTCCTCTCTGGCTCTCTCCCAGAGGCAGAGTGCCCAGACCCCAGGGAAGTAACCTAGGGGTGAAGGAAATGCTACATTCTCACTGGGTCTCCCCCTACAACCCCTGGGGACCCAGGGATGGGGTGGGCCACTGGCACGCTCCGAGCAGGGACAGGAGCAGTGCAGGCCCGGGAGCACCTGCGGTCCAGAGGCTGGCATCCCCAGAAGAGCTCATGCTGCCGTCCAGATTCAGCGTCCTGCCTGCCAGCTGCCCAGGGTGCACCCACAGGCCAGCCTGGCGCCCGAGCTCCTCCCCACCTGCCACCCCATCTCCCCATCCCTCTTTGGAAACGAACACAAGCTCTCACTGGGGAAGCAGGCTCCTTGCTTATCAGGACCGGCACACTGCTCCATTGTCCTCCCCCCAGGCCAGCCCAGGTGGGGCCCGCAGAGGACAGGGCCGGACTGCCCCTCTGAGTCCCAGAAACAATCCCGCAGGCACACAGCTCTCCCTGGGGCCACCTGATAGTGACACAGGCCCACTCCCCCAGGCTGAGGAAGGCACTCAGGTGACCTTCTTCCACCTGGGGTTGAGCAAGAGGCTGGGGGCAGCTCTCCAGGCGCCTGGACTTTGAGACAGGCCCAGTCCTCCACCCTTGGCGGGCCTGGGGGCCCCTCCCCAGATCTGTCTACAGGCTTCCAGAATGCTCCAGTCTTCGGCTCTGAAAGAGAAGGCTGTCTTAACCCTTCCTCCAGGGCATTTCTTCCAGGGTGAGGGAAGCATCCACTCCCTCTCCCAGCCCCCACCCCAGCAGGCCGCAAAAGCCCCACAGGCCTTCAGCTGCCTACAGGTCAGGACCCAGGTCACCGCTCCCTCCCTCTGATGCTCTCCCAGCTCCTCACCGGAGACAGACCGGCTCCCAGAGACAGACCGGCTCCCCGGTGGGGGATGGGACCCGTAGGGGGGGCCCAGGGGGAGGGGCGTCTCCTGAGGCTGGACTTGAGGAATGTTTGGGCCCACTCACCAGGCAGGGAGGGAAAGGGCCCAGATTGCCAGCCAATTAAAAACAGACACCCAGGGGAACCCTCTCTCCCTGCTGGGGCCACCAGGGGGTTTCCTCCAGGGTGGGGGTGAGGGATGAAAGGGGGTCTCAGTTTGGCCTGGGCTGCCTGACACCTGCAGCTCTGGGTTTGCAGAAGATGGCAACAGCGTGGCGAGGCCCCTTCCACTGGGATCAGGCGGGATGGTCTGGTGGGCGAGCAGCCTGGGCCTGGCCAGCTCTCTGAAGTTGACACCAGGGGCTAGGCCATCTTCTCTCCTGCTCAGCTTGGGTGGAAAGCTGCCCGGGACGGGTGACAGGCAGCCGGTATGGACAATCCTGGTCTGTGTGGACAGCACTCAAGCACACAAAGCCTCCTGCCTGTCACAGCCTCCATCCAGGAGAGGGGAAACAACCAACGTGGGTCCCACACACATCACGACATGGCATGGCAACACACAAGGAAAGCCAGGTTTTCACAGCAGTCAGCGTGTCCTGGAGCTGGCCTCCATGCCCGTCCCCTGGCCGCCTTCTCCTTGCGAGCAGGAAGCTGTCTTCTCACCAGACAAGCCATGCTACACACCCTGAGAATAGAATTCTGGCCAAGAAGAGGTAATACGTCTAGAACATCTGGGAGGATGAACCGAAGGCTTACAGGCACGGCAGGAGGTCCTTGTCCTCGGGCCACTGGGAGAGCACGCGGTACCTCTGTGCAAATCAGGAAAGGCGCCCCTTCCCCGGGCGGGGCGGGCGGACGCAGCCTCCACAGTTCCCTGCAGCCGCCCTCGTCCACTGGGCAACCTGCCCAGCTGTACGTCCCGGAGACCAGCCGAAGACCTCCAGGAGCCCGAGCCTGCTCAGATGTGAGAGTCTTCCTCCAGTCTCCTTGAGTAGCCCTGGGGTCGTCTCTGCCCAGGTTTGGGCCTTGCTTCTCCTTTAGCACCAATGTTGTCTTTTCTTACACAGGCAAAAACTATCGTTAATTTCTAGATGTCTGGTTAACAGACTCCCTGTGGCTGCTCTCGGAGCTTCCAGCCCGGCTGCTTTTAAGTCTCTCCGTTAGTGCCACGGCAAGGAGGGAAGGGGAGAAGTCCAGAGGCAGCCCCGTGCCTGCTGCAGTCCAGAGCATGCCGCTCTGGCCCAGCTGGAAGCTCAAGGCTGCGGGAAATGTGTGCCCAGCATTGCCGGTTCCGCACTTCTAGCCATTGTCTATCGCTCTGAAAGTCGCTGTCCAGCTGACAAAGCCACTGGCCTGGCTTCTTCCTGTGTCCCACTAGGTGTGAAAAAGGAAGGGGACAAGGAGGAGGAGGTATGTTGTTTCCAAGGAAACCAAGGGGCCGGAGGGCCTCTGGAGCTGGCGGGATGGCCACCAAATTCCCTGGCCCTGGGGCAGGGCAGCCCCTCGATGCTCAACAGTGCTCATGATGGGGTGGACTGCAGTCCCAGGGCTGGATCTGTTGAAAGAAGACCTGACACAGGCACGAGCTGCTGGCTGCAGCACGGTGATGGGCTACTCAGCTCCTCCACGATTGGCACCTGCCAGTCCCAGGCAGCCGCAGGTGGCAGCAGTCCGGCACCCCAGGACCGATCCTGGGCCCTCGACATGGGACCAAGTCAGATTTGAGGCCTTCCCGGAAGTTGGGTTCATGTCATGGCACAGTCAAAGGGTCCCTGGAGGAACCCATCCCTCCCTGAGGTCTGCTGGAGGCAACAGGGGCTTGGGCAAGGATCCCTGAGCCCTGGGGGCTGGCAGCGGCTGGGTGGCGGGGGAGACCATGGCCGTCTGGCCAGCCTAGTGACCTGCCTCAGCCTAGAGGCCCCTGGCCATGCCCTGGGGAGTGGAAGCAGGTGACTCTCAGGATGAAGGTCCCATCCGCAGTGGAGGGCTGGCAGGTTAGTTAGGTGGCACTGGGAGACAACCCAGTGTCCTATTTTCAACCAAGCGCCTGTGGAGAAATTACAGTCAACTCCCTGGACATCACCAAGGGGGCAGATTTGACATCTGCCGTCAGGGCCCCTGGGAGTTGCCAGCATCGTAGACGCACAGCCTATCCTTGAACAGTGTTTGACAAAGGCCCTTGCTCCTGAACAAGGCAAGAAGGTTCCCCTGGGGAATGTCGTATGTACAGAGAGAAATGTAAAAACAAAAACAAACAAATACAACAACCACCAAAGCCAAGTTCACAAGACACAGCGTCAGTCCTGGCTCTGTTCCAGCCGGTGTTCCTGGTGCTCATGCGCAGGGGGCGGCGGCCCAGCCTCACCTAGGACCTGCCCCATCCCTGTTCTCGTCACCATTCAGAGCCAGGTTGTGCAGGAAGAGGAGGATCTGCCACCACACGCGATTTCGGTTCTGCTGGTGCTGCAGAGAAGAAAACAAAATCAACCTGGCTCCCAGACACCTTAGATGACTGCTTATCCTTTGCAGTAAAAGCTCCACTCTGCCCTCCCTGAGCACCCAAATCCCATCAGCACAGCAAGCTGCGGAGGGTGCTGGGGAGGCGAGAAAGACTTGGTGACAGTGGAGTCCTCCAAAAACAATTACAGTTTTAACATCACAAAGCAAAGACCAGGCTCTATATGCACTGTGCACAAGAGGATTAAACTTTTCCCCCTGCTTGCAGGATTTTCCAGAGTTTAGCCAAGTGCTGCTTTTAATCAGATTGGCTCCCGAGCCCCTCAAACCTCAGCTGCGCGAACAACAAACTCGCTTCAGAGAGAAAGAGAAGAAGTGCCCCTCTCTCTCCCCCCACTCCAAAGTAACACAGAGAACAAGGGGGAGAAGCGGGGGAGCCTCCATCTGCAAGTGATTTGACACTGTGAAGGTCAAAGGGTTAATCTTCAATTTAAACCACACTGCTGAGGCAGCAAAAATCTGATTTCATCCAGTGCAAACACGCGCGCGCACACACACACACACACACACACTCACTCGAGCGCCCGCCCTCTCTGCCTTCCCAGCATCTCCAGCTCAGCACTGCCCTTTTTATAGCCGCTCTTGACAGTAAGCCATAAATAATCCCTCTTGGAGCGCTTTCCTACTGACTGGAGCCAATTAAACATTAAGCAAGAACATACTTGAAAACAAAACAAAAACAAAGAATGCACACCACGCTCTGGAGGTTATCCCAGGTCCTACTGTCAGGCTGGGAGGCTGGGGGCAAAGTTCAGGGGTCAGTGGCTCATGGCACTGTGTCTGGTGCTCTGCCCACACAGGTACCCTTCCCAGGGGCCAGCCAAGGCCCCAGGGGGACTCCGGGCTGCTGGAAGAGGGATCTTTGTTCTTTGTCCTCTCTTTGTCTGGCCTGGGGCCTCACCACGGGGTTCTCAATGGGCAGGGGAATCCAACCCTAGTGTGGCAGAAAGGAGCAGCCACAGGCTGGACTTGGGACACGGAGCCCTCTCCTCTGCTGGCTTTAACCACAGCACCAGCCCCACCAGGCAAGTCCTCGAGGTCACGTGCAGCCCCCGCCTCCCTGACCTTACCCCAAGAGAACCTGGGGGCTGCTGGGTTGTCCTGCATCCCGCCCGGCAGGGGAGGGGTGGGGCAAGGAGATGAGAGGCATCCACTGAGGCCGAGCTCAGGGCCCTGACAACACAGGTGAACCTGCGACACCACCCCCAATCCAAGGCAACAGCGTTCCTCTTCCTCCTGCGGAAGAGACTGGAAAACAACCCAGCAAGCTGGAGGCCGGGCCACCACGAGGAAGGGAAGGGAAGTCGGGTGTGGCACAGCCGCCCAGGGCAGCTGGCAGGGAGACCGAAGGCTTCCTCGTGTTTTGTAAACAAAGATGAGTAAAAAGAGGAAACACTCGTGGCTTAACAAAAGCTGGGCAGAGTGAAGTCACGTGAAAATGGCCTCAGCTGCGGACGGACAGGAGGCCTCAGCCGGCAGCAGCTGGGCACGGGACCCCTCCCTTCCCATTGCCTCCCCTCCCCAGGGGCAAAGGTCATGTGCTGGAAGAGCCGAAGAATCCAGGAAGAACGCAGTCCCTGGAGAGGCCAGCCCGCTGGAACTCCGCAGCTCCTCAGGTGCCTGTGTCAAGCAGTCCCCGCGTGACAGCCACCAGGGCTGTGAGCCCGTGGCCGTGCCCCGCGTCCTTGCTTCGCACACCGCGGCCCAGCAGCTTCAGAGATGCAGCTGAAACAGAGCGTGAATTTGTAGCAGGGTCCCTGGCGATGGCAAGGCCAGCGTGCGAGAAGCACTGCCCCACACGCGCTATAGCCTTCGGTCCTTAGCAGCCCTGTGAGGTCGGTGTTTGTGACCACGCCAACTACAGGCACAGTGACTGACAGGGCGAGGTAACTTAGGCAAGACCTAACCAGCAAGTGGCAAGAACTGTACTGAATCCTGATCTTTGGGTTCTAGAGCCAAGTCACTAACCATAACCACTATGCTCCCAGTGCCATTATCCATCTTCATTTGCTTTAAAGATGTATTTGCTTTAAAGATGTATTTGCATTAAAGATTTCTTGGGGCTGGCACTGTGGCACAGTGGGTTAAAGCCCTAGCCTACAGTGCCAGCAACCCATATGGGTGCCAGTTCGAATCCCAGCTGTTCCTCTTCCCATCCAGCTCTCTGCTATGGCCTGGGAAAGCAGTGGAAGAGATGGCCCAAGTCCTTGGGCCCCTGCACCCACGTGGGAGACCTGGAAGAAGCTCCTGGCTCCTGGCTCCAGATCAGCTCAGCTCTGGCCATTGTGGTCATTTCAGGAGTGAACCAGCAGATGGGAGACCTCTCTCTCTCTCTCTCTGTAACTGTCTTTCAAATAAATAAAAAATTAAAAAATAAATCTTAAAAAAAGAGATCTATGTATTTCTTTATTTAAAGGGCAGAGTGACACAGAGAGAGAAAGAAGGAGAGAGAAACCAATCTTCCATCCACTGGTTCACTCCTCAGGAGGCTACAATGGTCGGGGCTGGGCCAGATAGAAACCATGACCCTGGAACTCCATCGGTGCCTCCCACATTGGGGCACAGGCCCAAGTACTTCAGCCATCGTCTTCTGCCTTCCAGGCACATTAGCAGGATGCTGTATCAGAAGCAGAGACAGGATTTAGTCCAAACACTCCGATGTGAGATGCAGCTTAACCCACATTAACACAGCTCTCATTCCATCCATCTTTCCTTATTCTACATCCCCATCACTAAACCATCTCAAAAGATTTCAATGGCCATGGAAGAGAGAGCTCAATTCTGGTTGGGGGCCTGGGTCAATCCCATCTCTGTAAGCCTCGATTTCTCCCAAATGCCATTAATGGAGGCTAACTGTGCAACTTCCTGGGCCCTGAAGTCTCTGGGGATGAAGCAAGGTAGCACTTTTACCTACGGTGCTTGGGAGTTTGGGAGGAACCATAAGCGGCTGTGAGCCAAAGTGTGCTGTCAGAACTGCTGGGCACACAGGCAGACCTTGGGGAGGATCCAGCTCCACACCTCTGCCTGTGGCAGTCCTAGGGCTCAAGTACTGGCAAGGAAGGCACTGATGGATCCCCAGGGCAGGAACCAGAGGCCCTGGCTGTAGGCTGGGCTCTGTGTGTGAGTCCTCATTTGACTCCTTGCTATTTTAGATGGGCGGTCTCCAAGCCTGCCTGTGTCACAAAACCTGCTGGGGTACGGGGCCACGGTAAAGACAGTGCCCTGACCCTGCCCATACCAACTAAGGATCTCCAGGAAGGGGGCCCAGGAATCTGCATATTGAATAAGCTCCCTGGATGACAGTTTGAAAATCAGAAGTGACATTTATTTTAGATATTTTAACCATCAGAGCAATACATGTGAATGGTAGAAAAATGGGAAGATACAAGACATTACAGAGAAGAAGGTGAACTCACTCAGGATCCTACGTACAGCCTGGAAGAAAACACTTCGTGCTTGCTCCCTTCTTCAGTGTCTTCCTGCCCCGCTGGCCGGGCCACAGACTGCCTTTTGGAAACCAGGGAGGTGCTTTCCAGCCCTCAAGAGTTTGTCATCCACAGTCCCCCAAGGCCTGTGACTCAGAGCTGTAACTACTGAAGGCTGGAGACCAGCAGAACAGGGCTGGGACCCCACCCCCAGGCCATGAGCCCTCGCTGGGCACCAGCAGGTGCCGCATCCTTCCCTCCAGCCTTCTCCTGCCACAGGGCAACTCCTTTTCCAGCCACCTCACATCCCAAGAATCAAAGGATGCCCTGATGACAAGGAAAGCGATAAAGAAAATACTTCCCAAAAGTTAAGCCAAAGGGTCTTAATATAAAAAGATAGAGGACATGAAGGGAGGCCAGAGAGGAGGGAAATCGGCCGTCACGGTCGGGGATGAGGCACACAGACACGGAAACACCAGAGAGCAGGCGTCCTGCCAGGAGGGGCTAGGGGCGAGGGGCAGAAGGTGAGGGAGCCGGGCAGGACCACACATGGCCCTGCCTCCAGGGCACCTGGCACAGCGCCCAGTTCATCAGCTGACCTCAACCAGGGCCAACCTCTGGAGCAAGGCCCAGCCCTCCTAGTGTCCCTCCCAGGGGGTCTTCCAGAATGGACAGTAGGGATGCCCCAGCGGTGGGGGACCGGGGCCCTGGGGATGGAGAGCTTACCCCAGAGCCACCAGACTTACAGAGCAGCTGAGAGGGCAGGCGAGGCCCAGAGGGAAAGAACAGAGGTGGAAGCCCCGACACAGCAGGGGAAAGCACTCTCCCGTCAAGACAGCAGGACAGGCAGGCAAGGAAGACCTCTGGGGCGGCTGAGCTCGGCCTCACTCTCTCCTCGCTCTCTCGCTGCGGGCAGGGGATGGAGGCAGCTGGCTGAGAAGTGTTCAACTCCCCGCCAAGCGCAAAGTACTCTGACTGTTTCATGATCATTTGGATAGCACACAGTAGGTACTCAACAAGTGCACACAGTACTGACAACGGAACGTCAGCCCAACAGCAGAACCCACTTGTCTGGGCCAGAGCAACTGCTGTCTAGCCAGTAGGAGCAATGGACGGACTTTCTGTGATGGGATCAGCCTCCTGTCTGGGAGACGCCCTGCTGGTAGAGGCTTTAAACCAAAAAAAAAAAAAAAAAAAAAAAAAAAAAGGAGCTGGCTATGGCTACGGTGTGTGTCAAGGCAGCATCACACAAATCAGTCTCAGCTTCAAGGCTCACAGCCTCCCAACCAAGCACACCCTCCCCGGATAAGGATCTCCCTCCACTTTCAGATCCAATTCACACCCTCGGGGGGCTTCGTGTGTCAGCCGCGTTCCAGCTGCTCTAGCAAGAACTAAATCACCCCCAAAGAATTGGAGGAAGGAGCAAAGCCACATTTTAAAAGAACCTAACGCACAAGATGCAAAGTTACCAAATGGAGGGCATCCTCCAAAACCTCAGACCTAGGACGGCGTGCACGCCTG